GTAAAATTTTTCTCTTTTTCTGTCTTTTTCTACGAATTTTACTTGGGTCAATAACATCAGATGAGTCATGTGCATTAATAATGCCATAATAAACTAAAACAGCCGATGCTAATGCTGCTGAGCAATCCGATACTCCCCATTGATCATTGATCATTGACTAATATTGGTAGTGGAGTTTACATTTGAGAGTTCAAAATTTCTTGTGAGCTTGTATTATTAGTTGATGATGGTGACTTAGGCGAGTCTGTCAAGAAGTCAACATCTTCATTACTATCTCTTTCGGTGATAGCGTCATCTAAATCACCGAACGTAACATCATTACAATCATCCTGCAAGCTACAATCTGGATGCGATTTTAAAGTTTCAGTATTTGTTACTGATTCACATTTATAAAACCTCAATTCATCAGCAAGTTTTCTTTTCAGTGTCTTTTTCTGCTGCTTTGTTGTTTTAATATCAACGTTTTAATATCAAGGTTATAATTATTTTGTTCTATCTCCAAATTTGAGAAAAATAAGTTAATACCAATTTCTTTTTTATTGTTAATTTTACTTTTTAGCTGTATTACTTTTGAAATTAATTTTTTTTTTTAGTGTCAAATCAGGTGTATCCAATTGTTCTATTTGCAAAATATCAACAGTTTTTAATGTTATTTTGTTATATTTCCAACAACCAATAAAATTGCGTATAATTCACATTAAGTAATCAGTTCGTGTTTATTTCCTCCAATTTAATTTTAAAATGGCGGATGAAATTGTGTATATCTTAGAGTAATAAACAAAAGTATAGGTATTTTCTTATATATTCTAGTGTCAATCGGTTTTTTTTAATTATTATTCATAATTTTACATATTGTTTTAGTAAAAAATGTATCATCATCTAATTAAAAGCAGACGAATTCTGTTGTATATGTGACATACAGTGTATATATATCATATAATATATATGGTTATATATATACACTATTGTATATGTCAAATATACAACAGAATCGGTTATATAATCCGTGATACACATATACTGTATGTGTGTATATTTTTTATTTATGTATGTATATATTGTATGTGCATGTGACATATACAACAGTATATTAAATATCCTCACGTATTCCGTATGTCTTTGTTTATTTAGTATATACAACACGTTTTATATACTTAATAAATAAAGACTCAAATGAATCATTTCATATATGGAAAAAATTTGTCTCTTCTTAAAATAATATATCTTCAAACACAAAATTATTTTGCATTGCATAACCTTTTTTATGTTTATTTTTTATTTTCAGATTACCCACAACAAGCTAATATCATGGTTACACCCTATGTTTCAACGCATCCTTTAATTTCTGATCAACTGCGATTACCTCCACATGGTGGGAAAACAAGAAAACGTAGAGCAAACTGTTATAACTGGAAACAGTCAAAAAGAAAGAGACTTAGACAATCAGGAATAGAATATATAAATGTTAGAAGCAAAGTTATTCAACCAAGAAGTATTAAAAATAAAAAATATTGTAAAAATTGTTGCAAGTTTAAGTGTTTTGAGAAGACTTTAGAAGACGAGAGAAAAATATTATTTAATAGACTGTGGGGAATGTCTCAGATTGAAAAGCAACACTTTTTTAGTAAAACTACTAAACGATTAGAAAAAAAAAGATCTCGAACCAATAAAGTTAGCAATTCAAGGAGAAAATATACTATATAAAAGGATCTGCGTGATACATGCTACAAATTTCAAATTATTGAAGATGCAAATGAAGAGCAAATCCAAAAGTATAACAAGCATATTGCATCAAAGAATAAAACAAAAATTGAGAGAGATAAGGATCGAAAGTTGAACTCCCCTTCCACAACCATAGTTTGTATTGATCTACAAAATGTCTTGAGCTTGCCAAAAAGTAATGTTAGAAACTTCTTTTATAAAAGAAAGCTCAGCTGTTATAACTTAACAGGTCACTCTTCACTGAACAAAAAAGCATATTGTATATTATGGCATGAAGGTATGTCAGGTCGTTCTGCTAATGACATTGCCAGTGCTGTGATATGTATGCTAAATAAAGTTTACAAGGATCTTCCTAATATTAATAAATTTATACTTTGGTTTGATTCTTGCGTTCCACAGAATATAAACAGTCATATGTCAGCTGCATTGCGTGAGTTTCTTATTGATCATCCAATTATTGAAATCATTCATCAAAAGTATTGTGAGCCAGGACACAGCTCTATTCAGGAATGTGATAATATGCATATTCAGATTGAGAAATCATTACATTCAGCAGAAATATTTAGTCCTCTTGGGTTGGTGAAAGCAATGTTGAATGTTAACCAACGTAAACCATTTTTTGCATACCAAATGCAAAAAAGCAATATTAAAATTTTTTTAAAAATTGCTAGTCTTCTGAACTACGAAAATGTTCCATACTTTAATGTTAAAACGCTTGTATATAGGTTTAATGCTCCTGGTCATGTGTATTTCAAGACTCGTTTTACAGATATTTATAAAGAGGCACGGCTGTCTAAGCCAAAAAACAGACGATCATCAGGAAGTAATCTTGAAGAATCATCAATTATATATCTAGAAAAATATATCTAGAAAACTTATTAAATGACAATATCCATTTAAATTTGCCAACTAAGTGTTTTAGGGTCTATATTTGCTTTTAAATCCCTAAATTAAAAATAATTTCTTGTAATCCATAAACTCCTCGCAAAACGTTCAAGTTGTATTTACTAAAAAATGGAGATAGCACAAAATAATATTAACACGAAATTAAAATTTAAAAGTTATTTTGTTCTATCTCCAAGCAGTGTGGAGCCATAATAGCGATTTGAGCAAAAAAAAATTTTTTCACAACAAATAATTATAATGAGTAATAATCAAGTATTGAAAAACGTTTGCATTAATAAAAAATGTATTGCCACTTCTGCTGGATTGCAGTGTAAAACTTCAACTTGATTTATCTCAGTTTAAACAAATGGAGAGAGATAACAAAATAATTCTAACCTGACGAATAGCTATTTTCCTTTCTGTTCTTTGATCTGCAAGAAATATTATTTTATTTGGTGGAACTTTACAATTCTTTTCACAAGCACATGTCGAAAAGTCTTTACATTTACATAAAGCAATATCAAAAACTCGATTTGAGTCAATTTTGAAGTTTTTAACTTTGTTCAGGTACTGTGACTCCTTGTCCTTGAACCTCTGTTTAAACGGTTTTGTAAGTGAGCGATATTTGTCATCGTAATCTCTTATTTTAGCTACTATTTGTTGACGGGATATTACTGGAATTAATGCTCTGAGTCAAATTGTCTGAAGATCAAAAGATATCTTCCTGGTTGTTTCATTAATTGTAGCTTCTTTGGCATGGCCATCAGACAACTCTTTTCTTACTTATATAAAATGTTTCATGATATCTGCATACGTTGGCAAAACATTTATGCTCATTCGTGAAATGATGCCAAATACTGGGCATATGTTATCATTGCGGGTGAGTGGTTTCTTCATTCGTACAGTTTTAATCTTTTGTCCCACAATCTAACCATACAAAGACAACACAGCGAAAATAAATGATAATTTTAACAATTATCTGCTAGATTCTGTGTTTTTTGTTTGACGCCGTTTGTATTTTACATAATAATACATGCACATTCACTCGCCAGATAGCAGCATTATAGCAGCTAATTATATAGCACTAAATGATAATATTATTATATCACCCAGACACACACAAACTTAAAAAAAAGTCTTAATCTATATCGGTAGTCCGTGCTCCGCACTCCGTAGTCGGTAGGTCACATTTTAGGGATTTTGGGGAATTTCAATGACCTTGGGGCACCTTAAGATAATTTCATAGAGGATTGCAATTTTTACAAAGTATTTTTGATATGAATAGACAACTTTTGCACACCCAGTCAAAATGAATATCAAACAAACAAAAAAATTTCTAAATTATTTTTTGGTAGATCACTTTTTGGTGATTTTGGTGATATTAAAAGTCCTAGGGGCACCTCAACATAGTTTCCTAGAGAATTGCAATTTTTACAGAGTATTTCTGACATAAATAAAAAACTTTTGCACACCCAGGCAAAATGAATTAAAAAAAAAAAAAATTTCACTGCACCCTATTGCTCAATGTGCAAGGATTCATTTTCACATGAGTTTGAGGCCCACATAAAATATTATCGTGTAACGATAATAATCTATGTGGGCCTCAAACTCATAAGTTTTTTTTTTTAACAAAGCTTCCTTGTAATTATTTATCTGAAAATTCGCTTGCTTGATGGTTCACCAAGGTCGTTATCAATAATTCCAATTAAAATTTTCTAAATTTAATTAGTTAACAATTTTTACGCAAATCCTCTCTATACTACTACCAATGATATATAAATATCATTGACTACTACTAGATATAAAATTAGCAAACAAATTTAAAAATAGTTTTATAAACATTAATTTTTATTTTGTCTCTTTTTCCGTTATTATTCGCAAAAGTTTAAAAGGACAGAAGCAAAAGCCAAGTTTGGCTTTTTCTTCTGTCCCTTTAAACTTTCGCATTCGCAAATGCGCAATAAAAAATCCGGGGGATGCTTAACTTTTCGTTGTATTTTATTACGATTACCGCAGGCTTTTCGGCGTTTTAGAATTCGGCTTTTTAGGGAGTCCCGTATTTGTAAAGTTAAACAAAACATAATAAAATTTTTTACTCAGTTACGCATATGATTTTAAATGTAGTAATGTACAGCACTTTAGAATGTACAACATACAATAATTTAGAAATAATAAAAAATACTTTAGTAAAAGTAAAAGTTAAAAAATACGTAAAAGGTAAAAATTTTTAAAATTGTTACAAAAGGCCGAGTGAATAAAAATGAGCAATTGCTTTTACTCAGTATTTAGTCAGCTTTACGTGAATAAAAACTTTAGGAGTTTTGCTCAAATTTTTATTCAAGGAAAGTTAAGCAATTTACTCAGTAATTGCTCAGCTTTACGTGAATACAAACTTAACTCAAATTCTTTATGCTTTTATTCGCGTAAAGCTGACCAATTACTGAGTAAAAGCAATTGCTTATTTTTATTCACCCGGCCTATAGTTACAGTAACGTGAGTAAACGTAATTCGTTAGTTTCCTACTCTGCCGCAAGAAATAGCATTTTTCAAATGTTTTTAAGTATTATTAAAAAAGGTTTCATACATTGCTTATGCTATTTTAAATGAATAATTGCTATATCAAAGTATATTAAAAAAAATATATTAAAAATTCCTCAATATTTTTATGAATAAAGCTTAACATCCAATTTACTAACGAATCGTTACTTAGAGAGATTTTCTGTATCGACTATTAGCCGTATTGTCATAAAATAGAGTTATTGGTAAACAAAATCTCGTATATATTTTTTTAAACACGAAATTAAGCATTACATCTCCAAAAAAGCGATTGAAATGTTTTTTTTTTTATCATTATAACAATATATTATGAAGTAGTGGCAACATACTAAAACATTATTAGTTTTTATAAAATGCTTATAGCTTACATTTCTGAAATCTATTTTGGATTGTATAACTTCGTTTTGTTGATATTACCTTACCAAAATTTAACAGATTGTGTTTCTCTTCAAACAATTGCTTAACTTTTTGTTAATACTTTTAATTTTTATTCGTTTTTATTTTGGTGTATTTTTTTAAATATGCCTTAGGTAATTTACAGCTAGTTTTTTTTTTTTTATAATAACAAAATATTTTTTAAGTCGTGGTAATTTTTTAAGTTGTGGTTGTGGTAATAATACTTAGTAAAACTATGAGTGGTTTATGCTGAAAGCGGCTATATAATCACTTGCCATTGAACAAAGTTTAAAAACTATAGGTCGGCCACTTTTTAAGGATGTTTTTAGTAGTTTACTGAGTCACTGGTGAAAATGTCTTGACAAGTATGATATAAGATGCCTTAATAAACTTTCATAATATTTGAAAGTTCTTAAAACTTCTTTTTAGTAACCAAGTAAAAAGATTTAGTAGTATTAAGTTGTAGCATATAAATATAATATCCTTTTGCTTTTTAAAGTAGTATTACGTAATGCATTGTTGAATAACCACCACACTGAGCTGTTATAAATAACTTTAAAAAAATCGGGTTTTTTCTTTATACAATTTATGTATAGACTTTAGTTTTTTTTTTTCATCGGTAATCAAAAATTTTTTATTTGGTAATATTGTACACTAAATCTCATATATTTTTTAATAAATTGTTTCTTTGTTTTCTTTTAAATATATTGTCTAATTGCTAGCATTTCTAAATTTTTTCCAGACTAGCAGCTCACTATTAGTTTAAAAATCTTTTACGGTATGACTCATCTAAAGCCAATTTCAAACTTTTAATTTCTTCAGGTTTAATGTGTTCGTTTAGCTCTAATAATTTCTTTAATGTTTCTTTAATTCCATCACCAAGAGAGCATTCAATAATTTGGAACCTATTAAAATTAAATTCTGATTTTAATATATTTATTTCATCTATGTAGTTAGATAAATTCCAAAGATGAAATATTTTTTCTTCAAAATTTTTGTTGTTTATCATGTCAGTAGCGTTTACTACCTTTATTTTATCTTTAAATATATGTTCATTAGTTACAACAAACCCAGCATCTTTATATGCTTTTCTAATTTGATGTGAAGCTGAAGGTAAAATTTCTTTTGATTTTTCTAATGCTTGTCTGGCTAAATCATATAACTCTAACATAAGTTTTCTCTCCTTAGCTATTATCCTTAAAGTACCGTAAGGATTAATATCTGCAGAAAATTGTTCATTTTTTAACCCACTGTTAACTAGTAACACTACCTTTGTGTTTTGAAGACATTTTAACACACTGCAACAGATTTTTTCTGTCGTAGCGCTAGTATAATCAATGATAACTGGATAATTTTTGTTCCAATTTTCAGAGATATTTTCTATCTTCACCTCTTTTGAATTTTGAGAATTGCAAAAATTCAAATCAAAAAATAAAATCTCTGCACAGATTTCTGGTTGAAATTTAGATGGAGATCTTTTTTGTATAGGAACCTCAAACATATCTCTAAAAGCATTTATAACTTCTTTAACCGCCTTTTCAGTTTCATAATACATATTATTTGTGACTATGCTGTACTCAGTTACATTTGGCAATTTGGTAATATAATATAGCGATAGAAATGTAGCTAAGTTGATTGCCCTCATTCCTGTTGAAACTGTAACTTTTCTTATATAAAAGTTTAAATCTTCATCTTCACCATCGCAATCACTATCGCTTCCAATTCCATCTTCACAATTTTGGTACCCACTATTGCAAATAAAATTTTTATTGATCATGTCCAGCTTTGCGTATAAACCATAAACATCATGTGATTGAATTTGATTATTCAGACCTTCGTTTTTTAATTCCAGCGCATTTTTAACCTCCATTAGAAGATTCCAAAAGTTTTCGTCTTCTATATTACGAGATTTGTTAAATCTTTTCTTTTCCTTTGTAAAGCTATGCTTCAATTTTTTATCTAAAGTAATTTTTTCATCGTAAATAATGTTTCTCAGCATTTCTATTAAAGGAGAAGCATAACAGTTCCTCTCGTAGTGTAATACTTTTATGATAAGGTCTATAAATAAATCAATATAGCTTCTTTTTCGAGTAATTTGAACAATTACTTTTCTACCTGATTTGTCTCCTTTTAAATTTAATGTCTCAAATAAATCTTTTGTCCAGAAAGGTAATTGGTCAGTTGTTTTGATTATTATTTTATGATTATAATTCCAAATTTTTTCATTTTGTTCTTTTAGCACGTTTTCATTAATAGCATGACATGAAAGTAACTGTATAACCTCTCCTAAAAAATTTAAACTTTTTACTAAAACGTCAATATATTGATTTGGAACTATTCCTATATTGATTCTGAAAGCATTTGCGATAGAGTCTACACTTGGGAGAACATGTCCAAAACTGGAACGTACAACTAGCTCAATAGGAATATATGCATTTTCTGCATTAAAATTTGCAATTGCCACATAATAAGACATTGCTACCTTATACCAGCTCTCATTACCTTTTTTGTATTTTCTTTCGTTATTAAAACAAGAAATTAGAACCAAAATACACGGATACTGATTAGAATAAATTGGTTCAATACCTGCAATAGGTTTACTTTTGCATTGTGTAACAAAATTGTGACATAAATCTTGTTTATATTTTAAAATTCTATCATATAAAAAAACGTTTCTTGTAATTTCCTGACAATCTTCCTGACAAAATATTATTTTGCTGTATTGTTTGTGAGAGAAAGGAGAGCAAAATGAACCCGTTTTGGAGTGATATGAATTTGTACTTTTGGAGCCGTTTCGTTTTTGTGGGTAATTTATTGTTGGGTTGTCATACGTTTTTTGATTTGTTAAAAAACTCTTTGCATATCTATCGCTATTCCCACCTCTGCTAGTCGAGCGAAAGTATGTTCCCCAAAACTCTGGTTCTGCCATATAAAAACAAGTTGTATCTAGGTAACGTGCATAGTATTCACACCTGGGAAAGTAAGCATAATCTTTAACAGCGATTGAATCAGAAATTGGGTCATTTAGGTTAAAATCAAATAACATCTTATCCAATCCAGCGTCATTTCTACTTTTTGAAGTGATTACTTCACATTTATTGCATTGTAAACTAAAACAAGTTTTTAATTCATGCAATATAAAACGTAATTTAAAAGCAGGTTTAGGTGAGTTTATTTGGAATTTATTTAAAAAATTGCATTGTTTTTTGTATACAAACATTAGAGCATTATATATTGCCCAAAATCCACTATCTATAGGCCGAATTTGCTGGATATAATTGTTGAAAAGTTGGCCCTCCTCATTTAAATTTAAATCAAAACTTATAGAATCGTTTCTTGTGAATAAGGTAACTTTAGTTGAAATACAAATCGGTTTAAGCATATAACCAATAAGAAATAAAACTTTTTTTCTTCCATTAGAGATACAACTTTTTCTAAATGGTTTGTAACTATTTGGCAGTATTACACATGCTACCCAAGAAGGAGTTTCGTTAGAAAAATTATGTGGATTTTTCTCAAATGAATTTTGAAAGGAAACGTTTTTAGTAACTATGACATAAGGTTTGTAATCATGCTCTTCAATATTAGTAAAAGTTAAAAACTCAAAAAAAGCGTTTATTTCAATTACATTTTCACTAAAACGTATAAAAGAGTTTTCAGGACAACCTATATAAGCTTTGTTATCAAGTATAAAACTCAATAGGCTGTAAACATCATAACTAGAGACTATTGAATCAGGATCTAAATAACTTTGGTCATATTCTGTAATTTTGTCTAGCTTTTCAAATAAATCATTGATAAATGATTTTTCCAACTCTACCATGTTTTTGCTGAAGGTAATGCTAAAAATTTGTAACAAACAAAAACAATATTAAAATAGTTTTATTTCTTTAAAAAAATTTAACTTTTAACGTTGAATAATATACTTGTATAATGCTATACACTTATATAATGCTATACAAGTGTATACTTGTTTTTATATGCCATGAACCAAAATTTTGAGGAATATACTTCCGCTCGACTAGCAGAGGTGGGAATAGCGATAGATATGCAAAGACATTTTTAACAATTCAAAAAACGTATAACAATCCAACAATATATTACCCACAAAAACAAAACGGTTGCAAAAGTACAAATACATATCTCTCCAAAATAGGTTCATTTTGTTCTCCTTTTTCTCACAAACAATATAACAAAGTAATGTTTTGTCAAGAAGATTTTTAGGAAATTACTAGAAACATCTTTTTATATGATAGAATTTTAAAATATAAATTTATTTTTTAAGTGTTATATAGCATTATACAAGTGTATAGCATTATATATACAAGTATACACTTGTATTAGCATCGAATACTAAAAAAATTCATTGCATTGAAAACTGTAAACTAAATTATAAATGTTAAAAAAAAAGTTAAATAGTGTTTACTTTTTATCAAAACATTTTTAATTATTTCCACAATCCTGCTGATACATTTCAAATTGCTAAAACATGTGCAATATTAATAGGATGACGTTGAAGTAATTGTATAACCTCTCCTAAAAGAGTTAAACTTTTTACTAATTTTTCACAATTTTTTAACAAACGTAACTTTTTTATCGTAAATAATGTTTCTCAGCATTTCTATTAGAGGAAAAGCATAAAAGTTCTTCTCGTAGTGTAATACTTTTTTGACAAGGTCTATAAATAAATCAATATAGCTTCTTTTTCGGGTAATTTGAACAATTACTTTTTTACCTGATTTTTCTCCTCTTAAATTCTATGTCTCGAATAGATCATCTGTCCAAAAAGATAATTGACCAGTTGTTTTTATTATTATTTTATGATTATAGTTCTTAATTTTTTTATTTTGCTCTTTCAGCACGTTTTCATTAATAGCATGACGTTGAAGTAACTGTATAATCTTTCCTAAAAAAGTTAAACTTTTCACTAAAACGTCAATATATTGATTTAAAACTATTCCTATATTGATTCTAAAAGCTTTTTCGATAGAATCTACGCTTTGAAGAACATGTCTAAAACTGGAACGTACAACTAGCTCAATAGTAAAGCTTTTGAATATTCGTTTGGAAGATATCTCATACCCATCTTGTATATCTTCGAATAAAACCATTATACATGATCCAAACAAAATATCGGAAAATTTTAACTCGTTTTTTATTTCAATACCTGACGAATTGCAAAAAAACATTCACTCATCCCATACTAACTTCTATAACTCTTTAAAAACACAAAACCTTGAGTCTATATTCATTAAACCTACTGATAAAAACGAAGTTTTATCTACTATTCTTTTTCTAAATGATGGCAAGGCTTCTGGTCCATACAGCATTCCAACCTTTATTCATAAATTTCTTGCTTGGCATATTTATCCATTACTTTCTAAACTAATTAACCTCTCATTCGTTACAGGTATATTTCCTAACATTTTCAAAACAATATCTGTTAAACCAATTCATAAAAAGGGCTCAAAACCTGACTGTAATAACTACAGACCAATATCATTATTATCTAATATCAGAAAAATTCTTAAAAAATTAAAGTATTCAACCATTTTTTTAATAATTCTAAGTGCTTATATGGCCGCCAGTTTGGTTTTCGTTTAAAACACTCTACTTACCATGCTCTTATTAGCATGGTGCCATGCACTTATTAGCATTAATGAAATGATTCGTGGTGCAATCGATAGTGTTTCATTTGCTTGTGGCGTCTTTATTGATTTTTAAAAATCTTTTGACACGGTCGACCACAAGATTTTAATTAAAAAGTTATACTACTATGGCATACGGGGTATCGCAAATAATTGGTTTTATCATATATTGAAAATCGTAGCCAGTTTGTCTCCATTAATGGGTTTGAATCCTCCAAAAAATTTATCAAATATGGTGTACCCTAAGGTTCAGTTCTTGGGCCTTTTCTGTTTTTAATATATATAAACGACTTGTCTCAATCTATAAGCAATTCCACTGTTCACCATTTTGCTGATGATACCAATCTTCTATGCATAAATAAATTACTTACTCAGCTTTGAAAAAAAAGTTAACTCAGATCTCCATCATTTGTGACTTTGGTTAAATAGTAATCGTATCTCTCTAAATATCAACAAAACTGAATTCATTATTTATCACCTTCCAAAAAAATAATTAGTAATGATAATGTTAAAATTAAAATGAACGGAAAAAGTATCTTTACTTCTGAATTTATAAAACATCTCAGAGTATTTCTTGACAAAAACCTTGGAATTATCAAATCTTGGAATTATCAAATGATTCAATTAAATAAAAAACTCTCTCGAGCCAATAGTATGTTATCTTTAAGACATTATGTACCTGAACATACTCTAGTATCAATTTATGTTCCTAAACATACTCTTGTATCACTATTCTATGTTCTCATCCCATCTAAGCTATTGTTGCGTTGTTTGGGAGCAACAAGGAAGTTTTTTATTAAACCGTATAAACAGTTAGCAATGTATTCCATATGAGTTATGACATTTTCTCCTATTCAATCTAATATCCAAAAAAGGTTTTCTGTATTAAAAACCTTACAACTTCAAAATCTTATGAAGCTTTACAACTGTCTTCTTGTGTTTGATTTCCTCCAAAACAATCTGCCGGGTTCGTTTAACAATTTTTTCATTAAAGCAAGTTATACACATAAATTATACTCGTATTTCTATAAATGGTATTTTTCACCCTTCTTTTTTCAATTCTGTCAAGTATGGCAAGCTCTCTATAAAATATCAATGTATTTTTTCACTGAAACCAATTAATGCTAATTTTTATTATTTTTCCTTTAATATTTATTTATTTAATTATACTTATTTTTAATTATTTTTATTTTTTTTATTGTTAATATTATTCTTTACATTGTTACTACTACTACTTTTATTATTGTTATTACTTTATTATTTATATACCTTTGTTTTTGTTACCTATAATGATAGTCAAAGTAGTTATAGTAGCTTTATCATTATTGTTAAAACTATTCTTTAAATTGTTTATTTTATAAGTATTAACTATACTATAATTATATTACTATTGCTTTATCATTTATAATTCTTTTTACGTTGTTATATTGCAGTTGTTACTTTTATTTTATTACTTTTATTCATAATATTGTTACTATTTTTATTTTTATAAATATTATTACTATTATCTTTCTTTTCCTCTTTTTTTTTTTTTTTTTAAATCTTCTTTATTGTTATTGTTGCTTATCTTTCTTCTCTTTTTTCTTTTTTTTTTTTTAAGGTGTCACTCCATTGACTAGTTTTCAACAATATAAGTGACAACTAACCTTACTTATGTAAATTTATACTTTATCATCAAAAATTTTCATTATTTATGGTTAAATAAATGGAGGAAAAAAAAAAGGTATATATGCATTTTCTGCATTAAAGTTTGCAACTGCCACATAATAAGACATTGCTACCTATATAATTAGAACCAAAATACACGGATACTGATTAGAATAAATTGGTTCAATACCTGCTCTAGGTTTACTTCTGCATTGTGTTCCAAAATTGTGACATAAATCTTGTTTATATTTTAAAATTCTATCATATAAAAAAACGTTTCTAGTAATTTCCTGACAAATTTACTGACAAAATATTATTTTGTTGTATTGTTTGTGAGAAAAAGGAGAGCAAAATGAACCCGTTTTAGAGTGATATGAAAATGTACTTTTGCAACCGTTTCGTTTTTGTTTGTAATTTATTATTGGATTAATAAATGTTTTTTGATTTGTTAAAAAACTCTTTGCATATCTATCGCTTTTCCCACTTCTGCTAGTCGAGCAAAATTATGTTCCCTAAAATTCTGGTTCTGCCATATAAAAACAAGTTGTATCTAGGTAACGTGCATAGTATTCACACCTGGGAAAATAAGCATAATCTTTAACAGCGGTTGAATCAGAAATTGGGTCATTTAGGTTTAAATCAAACAACATCTTATCCAATCCAGCGTCATTTCTACTTTTTGAAATGATTACTTCACATTTATTGCATTGTAAACTAAAATAAGTTTTTAATTCATGCAACATAAAACGTAATTTAAAAGCAGGTTTAAGTGAGTTTAATTGGAATTTATTTAAAAAATCGCATTGTTTTTTGTATACAAACATTAGAGCATTATATATTGCCCAAAATCCACTATCTATAGGCCGAATTTGCTGGAGAGAATTGTTGAAAAGTTGGCCCTCCTCATTTAAATTTAAATCAAAACTTATAGAATCGTTTCTTGCGATTAAGGTAACTTTAGTTGAAATACGAATCGGTTTAAGCATAGAACCAATAAGAAATAAAACTTTTTTTCTTCCATTAGAGATGTAGATATTTGGCAGTATTACACATGCTACCCAAGAAGGAGTTTCGTTAGAAAAATTATGTGGATTTTTCTCAAATGAATTTTGAAAGAAAACGTTTTTAGTAACTATGACATAAGGTTTGTAATCATGCTCTTCAATATTAGTAAAAATTAAAAACTCAAAAAAAGCGTTTATTTCAATTACATTTTCACTAAAACGTATAAAAGAGTTTTCAGGACAACCTATATAAGCTTTTTTATCAAGTATAAAACTCAATAGGCTGTAAACATCATAACTAGAGACTATTGAATCAGGATCTAAATAACTTTGGTCATCATCTGTAATTTTGTCTAGCTTTTCAAATAAATAATTGATACGTGATTTTTCCAACTCTGCCATGTTTTTGCTGAAGGTAATGCTAAAAATTTGTAACAAACAAAAACAATATTAAAATAGTTTTATTTCTTTAAAAAGATATAATTTTGTAAATATAATAATAATATATATATATATATATATATATATATATATATATATATATATATATATATATATATATATATAATAATATATATATATATATATATATACATATATATATATATGTATGTATATATATATATATATATATATATATATATATATATATATATATATATATATATATATATATATATATATATATAAATATATATATATATATATATATATATATATATATATATATATATATATATATATATATATATATATATATATATATATATATATATATATATATATATATATATATGTACATATATATATATATATATATATATATATATATATATATATATATATATATATATATAATATATATATATATATATATATATATATATATATATTTATCTTTTTATTATATATAATTTCTTTAAATGCAAATAAAATACATTTAATTTATTTAAGTTTTTATAATAGGGATATGTTAAATAAAATTAACAGTAATAATTTATTATAACTTTTATTTAATAACGTTTTTTTCATATAAATCTTTCTTAAAATCGGTTTTTATTTTATTAAAATTTCTTTAAATCGGTTTTTAGGAAAAATAGTTAAAATAATAATCTTTTGTAAGATTTTTTATACTAAATTTTCTTTTTTAAACTATGTTATAGTAAAAGTATTTTATCACGTTACACCAAGTTACATTTGTCTTAGACAATAGTTCGAATAACTTTTGTAGGTATACGTTTGGATATTGTTTTATATTTCTCATAACGAGTTGCAAAACTTAGTATTTTTTGCAAATGTCGCAATTTTATTTTATTTGTATTAAGCTTTTAACAAGTAGTGAAAAAGTTATTTTTGATTGTGAAATGAAGACTTTATTTGGTTCTCTTGTCGATAGAAATGACGGGCTCCTTAAGTAGCTAAAAAGCCAGAAGTCTGCGACAATTCATGTGCAATGCCGTAAAATTAGTCCAGCTCGCTCCAAAGCTTGCGTGAGTGAATCGAATTTTTGTTTTAAAATACATTGTTTAATTTGCGACACTGAAGCAAATAAAGAGCTGAAAAAAAGTGCAAAATTTTCGGCGTAAAATGTATATAGTTATTAACCTTGAATTTAAAGAATGGTCGGAGGCGGAAAGATCACGTAGCAAAAAATGTTTGTGCACGCATTGAGTATGAATATGATTTAGTTGCTGCTAAAGCTAGGTTTTATAAAAGTTTTTTTATCCGGTCGTCCATAAGATGAATCTACAAATAATTTGATGAAAAATATATTTAGATACATTGAAAATAGTGAATATTTAATAGTTTTAATCAGATTTAGATAACAGAACAATTACGAATAAAGTTCAAGTTAATATCACTTGAAAAACAGAGCAGATTAACTTTCATTTGTTTTTTTAATAATCATTGCAATGTTCTTAACCAAGTTTTGTATGAGAAAATAACGAAGAAAAAGAATTTGGAACTTTAAAAACTGCGGTAATACTCATTTGAGAGGATATCTAATCATAAGTCTTTGATTATAACAATCATCTCTCACCTTGTCTAATGTTTGAAGAGATTATCAGCAATATTCCGGATTCTTTTTTTGCAACAAGTTCTTTTTAAATCGAAGTTTAAAATAAGTATATCAGTATTTCTTCATTGACGGTTTGCTTTAAAAGGATCGGTGGGGACTTTTATTGATTTATTTGTAATAATATCCCCAAGGTTTGTAAAAAATTTCAGCTCTATTCAAATTATTGTAAACTAAAATGTCTATTTTGACCGGACTGTTTTGTATTGTTTTAAAATTACGTAATTATCGATTCATAACTTAATTTGTTAAGTTTGTAATCGAATCATAAATTAATTGAAGTTTTATTTGTAAAATTTTATTAATGTTCAAACAAAAATAAATAAATTTGATAAAGATTTGTGGTGCAAGTGAAGTGAAAAGCTTGAAAATAGAAAAAGGTAGCGAAATTATTATTGGACACTTTTGTTTTAATCGACTTTAACAAGAAGTTGATGGAACTAAAACTAAACATTTTAAAGCTGAATTTTCTTATTATCAGAGTACTTTGAGTCTGAGGTATTACTTAAAGTAAACTTAATTAAACTTAAGCACAGAATTGATACCAACAAATTAACCACTTAAACAAACACTGAAGGAATACTTTGGTAAATTACATTGGAGGCAGAAGATGGGAGAACTATAGAAAAACAAGAGAAAGACACGATAACAAATGCCATTGCAAAGTGAGTAGCTACAAACGACAGGCCAATTAGTATTGTGAGAGATATCGGACTAAAGAATGTTATTAGGATTGTAACAAATGACTTCACTTATGAGCCCGCAGCGAGACGCACGCGTTACAACTTGCACAAACTGTTGCCCTTAACAGAGACTATTGAACGTCACTAATTAATTATAACTACCTCAGAGTTACAGTGTTATAGTTATAGTTATTGCTGAAAGACATTTGCCGTTTGAATGCACCTCCTGTGTAGCACACAGTCTGCAGCGTTCGGTTTCAGTATCTCTGCACAACGACGCGTTTGACAACACCCTGGCTAAGTGCAAAATGGTGGTGGGCTATTTTAAACACAGTCCAGAAAATTCTAAAGAATTAGAAAAACAAAAACAAATTGAGTTTAAACAAAGAAAGGAGTCACTAATACATTCCAACTAAAGGAAATCGACTCTGAAACACGATAAAGCGACTGAACGACGTTCTCACCACACACAACACAAACATTGCAATGCAAACATCAGCTAAAATGAACAAATTGCAGAGGTTGGAAAAGCTACTACCCTGCAGATGCATTTTACATCATATATTTTGTTGTATACTTATACGTTATATATTTTTTATTGACTGATTTGATTCGATGTGAGAGAAAATATGTGTCTTTATATGGTTGTATGAAGGAATATAAGAACAGTTTTGTGAATGAAATGGTTTTGAGTTTTGCAGGTATGTGACTGTTGTAATGTAACATCATTGTGAAAAGGAAACTTTGAAAGAAAACCCTAACAAATGTTAGCGATATGAATGATTTTAAATTAATCGATTAGGTCGAGGCTGTCACATGGTTGCAATATTATCACCCCATTCAAAATGGTAGAAGCCGTAAATTGTTCTGAAAACGTAATGATTGTATCGTTGTATCGTTGTATTGTTGTATCATTGAATGTTTATATTGTATGCTCGTTTATAAACAAGTCAAATTATGGCAATAATAAAAAAAAAAAAAAATAACATAAACTTCGTATAAAAGTTATCTATATTAAGAAATGTTGAGCCAATTCGCCCTTTTAAAAAAAACGATTAAATTATGCATGACCTAAATATTAACTCGGATTTCTTCACTGAAATAAAAATTATATCATTTTTTGGCACGTCTTCATAATGATTTTATCATGGAGTCAATAAGTTGCAAAAGTACTGAATAAACATTTTAAGATTTTCTTTTGTCTTAAATGCGGTAGCCAAAGAAACTTTATATATTTTTATAATTTTTATATATAGAATTTCATTGAGACTATTTTTGAAAACAACACGATTATCTAATGTTATTATGGAGTCAATGAGTTGTGAAATACTGAATAAACAAAAAAATTATTTTTTTATCTTTTATATGGTAGCTCAAGAAAATTTATATATTTTTATAATTTTTATGTGTAGTATTCAATTTAAATTTTTTTCGAAAAACGCACGATTATATAATGTTATCATGGAGTCAATGAGTTGTGATTTGTTGGATAAATAACGTAAGATATTCTTTTTTTATTGTTCTCGATGAAAAGACTATTTTAGTCTTCTGCGATTATCCTTACACCAAAGAAAAATATTTTTTAAGAATAATTTTATATATATATCCAACAACATCCACAAGCAAGTCCTAAGTAGCCCTGTGGTACGACGGACTTGCATATATTTTTTAAATGCATGGGTTATTAGCCAGCACTTTATATTATAAACAACGAATAGTTACCTTATTTTGTACACTGTACAACGCGCATGCGCTGAACAGAATTTTGAATTTTGTCTTGTAAAAATTGTTTAATTGTACGTTTTGTACTTATATGTAAAAATATGTAATTTTGTTTTATTAAAATATATACTTGTGTTGTAAAAAAAAAAAAAAAAAAAAAAAAAAAAAAAAAAAAAAAAAAACGTAGAAGAAATAAATCTATTACATTCTTATTTAATCTTATAACTAACTTTTATGGTTTGTTTTACAATTACTTTATTTATAGCTATTTTGGTTACAAATTTAAACTTATTTTATGATTTCTTCACTTTTGGCTATTTTTGGGTGACTTGGTTGTAATTAATAAATCAAATGTATTTACTAAATCAATTACACCTTGACCGGCAATCAAGTGCAGCTTGACCGGCAGAAAAATATGGATATTGAGAAGTACCAAATATTAGTTCATTCAAGCATCAAATTGAAATAATGTTCGAAGTTTAACCGTACGCTAATCTTAAACTTTTATATATATATTGTATTGCAAGGCAATTCTATAAAAATAAAAATATTTGTTAGTAAATTACTTTTTGCTAAAATGACTGTGTATTTATAGTCTAAAGTATCCTATATTTCATTTTACATCAGCAATGCGACCTTCTTTATGTAGACAAACATCACCCTGCTTCATCATTTTTTTCCTGAATTTTTTTACTTTAAAATCTTGCATTTGTCTCCCAAAAGTCGCTGAATTAAATTCTTGTTTTTATTTAAGTATTGGTTATTTAAATGATTAGCGATAAATGTTAAAATCAAGCAAAAAGAACCAAAAGTAGCATCAAGTTAGGAATTCGCAAAGTAATGGTTAACGTTTTTCAAAAAACGGCTGCCATGCATGGACCATGCTTTAAGCGGTATGCAAGACTTGGATTGGACTAAGCTTGTCGGTTGATGATAAGC